GTGTGTGTGTGTGTGTGTGTGTGTGTGTGTGTGTGTGTGTGTGTGTGTGTGTGTGTGTGTGTGTGTGTGTGTGTGTGTGTGTGTGTGTGTGTGTGTGTGTGTGTGTGTGTGTATGACAGGAACGTGTATGAGTACTGGTGGTGTATGAATACTGTAGGTGAATGAGAAGAGCGTGTATGAGTACTGGTAGTGTATAAGTACTCGTGGTGTTTGAGTACTGGTGGTGTTTGAGTACTGGTGATGTATGAGTACTGGTGATGTATGAGTACTGGTGGTGTTTGAGTACTGGTGGTGCATGAGTACTGGTGATGTATGAGTACTGGTGGTGTTTGAGTACTGGTGGTGTTTGAGTACTGGTGATGTATGAGTACTGGTGATGTATGAGTACTGGTGGTGCATGAGTACTGGTGGTGTTTGAGTACTGGTGGTGTTTGAGTACTGGTGGTGTTTGAGTACTGGTGGTGTTTGAGTACTGGTGATGTATGAGTACTGGTGGTGCATGAGTACTGGTGGTGTTTGAGTACTGGTGATGTATGAGTACTGGTGGTGCATGAGTACTGGTGGTGTTTGAGTACTGGTGGTGTTTGAGTACTGGTGGTGTTTGAGTACTGGTGGTGTTTGAGTACTGGTGGTGTTTGAGTACTGGTGATGTATGAGTACTGGTGGTGCATGAGTACTGGTGGTGCATGAGTACTGGTGATGTATGAGTACTGGTGGTGTTTGAGTACTGGTGATGTATGAGTACTGGTGGTGTTTGAGTACTGGTGATGTATGAGTACTGGTGGTGTTTGAGTACTGGTGATGTATGAGTACTGGTGGTGTTTGAGTACTGGTGGTGTATGAGTACTGGTGGTGTTTGAGTACTGGTGATGTATGAGTACTGGTGGTGTTTGAGTACTGGTGGTGCATGAGTACTGGTGGTGTTTGAGTACTGGTGATGTATGAGTACTGGTGGTGTTTGAGTACTGGTGATGTATGAGTACTGGTGGTGTTTGAGTACTGGTGGTGTATGAGTACTGGTGGTGTATGAGTACTGGTGGTGTTTGAGTACTGGTGGTGTTTGAGTACTGGTGATGTATGAGTACTGGTGGTGTTTGAGTACTGGTGATGTATGAGTACTGGTGGTGTTTGAGTACTGGTGGTGTTTGAGTACTGGTGGTGTTTGAGTACTGGTGGTGTATGAGTACTGGTGGTGTATGAGTACTGGTGGTGTTTGAGTACTGGTGGTGTTTGAGTACTGGTGGTGTTTGAGTACTGGTGGTGTATGAGTACTGGTGGTGTATGAGTACTGGTGGTGTATGAGTACTGGTGGTGTATGAGTACTGGTGGTGTATGAGTACTGGTGGTGTTTGAGTACTGGTGGTGTTTGAGTACTGGTGGTGTATGAGTACTGGTGGTGTATGAGTACTGGTGGTGTATGAGTACTGGTGGTGTTTGAGTACTGGTGGTGTTTGAGTACTGGTGGTGTATGAGTACTGGTGGTGTATGAGTACTGGTGGTGTTTGAGTACTGGTGGTGTTTGAGTACTGGTGGTGTATGAGTACTGGTGGTGTATGAGTACTGGTGGTGTATGAGTACTGGTGGTGTATGAGTACTGGTGGTGTATGAGTACTGGTGGTGTTTGAGTACTGGTGGTGTATGAGTACTGGTGGTGTATGAGTACTGGTGGTGTATGAGTACTGGTGGTGTATGAGTACTGGTGGTGTATGAGTACTGGTGGTGTATGAGTACTGGTGGTGTTTGAGTACTGGTGGTGCATGAGTACTGGTGATGTATGAGTACTGGTGATGTATGAGTACTGGTGGTGTTTGAGTACTGGTGGTGTTTGAGTACTGGTGGTGTTTGAGTACTGGTGGTGTATGAGTACTGGTGGTGTTTGAGTACTGGTGATGTATGAGTACTGGTGGTGTTTGAGTACTGGTGATGTATGAGTACTGGTGGTGTTTGAGTACTGGTGATGTATGAGTACTGGTGGTGTTTGAGTACTGGTGGTGTTTGAGTACTGGTGATGTATGAGTACTGGTGGTGTTTGAGTACTGGTGGTGTTTGAGTACTGGTGGTGTTTGAGTACTGGTGGTGTTTGAGTACTGGTGATGTATGAGTACTGGTGGTGTTTGAGTACTGGTGGTGTTTGAGTACTGGTGGTGTATGAGTACTGGTGGTGTTTGAGTACTGGTGATGTATGAGTACTGGTGGTGTTTGAGTACTGGTGGTGTTTGAGTACTGGTGGTGTTTGAGTACTGGTGGTGTTTGAGTACTGGTGGTGTATGAGTACTGGTGGTGTTTGAGTACTGGTGGTGTTTGAGTACTGGTGGTGTATGAGTACTGGTGGTGTTTGAGTACTGGTGGTGTTTGAGTACTGGTGGTGTATGAGTACTGGTGGTGTTTGAGTACTGGTGGTGTATGAGTACTGGTGGTGTATGAGTACTGGTGGTGTATGAGTACTGGTGGTGTATGAGTACTGGTGGTGCATGAGTACTGGTGATGTATGAGTACTGGTGATGTATGAGTACTGGTGGTGTTTGAGTACTGGTGATGTATGAGTACTGGTGGTGTTTGAGTACTGGTGGTGTATGAGTACTGGTGGTGTTTGAGTACTGGTGGTGTATGAGTACTGGTGGTGTATGAGTACTGGTGGTGTTTGAGTACTGGTGGTGTTTGAGTACTGGTGGTGTATGAGTACTGGTGGTGTATGAGTACTGGTGGTGTATGAGTACTGGTGGTGTATGAGTACTGGTGGTGTATGAGTACTGGTGGTGTATGAGTACTGGTGGTGTTTGAGTACTGGTGGTGTTTGAGTACTGGTGGTGTTTGAGTACTGGTGGTGTATGAGTACTGGTGATGTTTGAGTACTGGTGGTGCATGAGTACTGGTGGTGTTTGAGTACTGGTGGTGCATGAGTACTGGTGATGTATGAGTACTGGTGGTGTTTGAGTACTGGTGGTGTTTGAGTACTGGTGGTGCATGAGTACTGGTGATGTATGAGTAGTGGTGGTGTTTGAGTACTGGTGGTGCATGAGTACTGGTGATGTATGAGTACTGGTGGTGTTTGAGTACTGGTGATGTATGAGTACTGGTGGTGTTTGAGTACTGGTGGTGTTTGAGTACTGGTGGTGTTTGAGTACTGGTGATGTATGAGTACTGGTGGTGTTTGAGTACTGGTGGTGTTTGAGTACTGGTGGTGCATGAGTACTGGTGATGTATGAGTACTGGAGGTGTTTGAGTACTGGTGGTGCATGAGTACTGGTGGTGTTTGAGTACTGGAGGTGTTTGAGTACTGGTGGTGCATGAGTACTGGTGATGTATGAGTACTGGTGGTGTTTGAGTACTGGTGGTGTTTGAGTACTGGTGGTGCATGAGTACTGGTGATGTATGAGTACTGGTGGTGTTTGAGTACTGGTGGTGTTTGAGTACTGGTGGTGTTTGAGTACTGGTGATGTATGAGTACTGGTGGTGTTTGAGTACTGGTGATGTATGAGTACTGGTGATGTATGATTACTGGTGATGTATGAGTACTGGTGGTGTTTGAGTACTGGTGGTGTTTGAGTACTGGTGGTGCATGAGTACTGGTGGTGTTTGAGTACTGCTGGTGTATGAGTATTGGTGGTGTATGAGTACTGGTGGTGTATGAGCACTGGTGGTGTTTGAGTACTGGTGGTGCATGAGTACTGGTGGTGTTTGAGTACTGCTGGTGTATGAGTACTGGTGGTGTTTGAGTACTGCTGGTGTATGAGTATTGGTGGTGTATGAGTACTGGTGATGTATGAGTACTGTAGGTGTATGAGCGGAGCGTGTATGAGTACTGGTGGTGTATGGGTACTGGTGGTGTATGGGTACTGGTGGTGTATGTGTACTGGTGGTGTATGAGAGGTGCGTGTATGGGTACTGGTGGTGTATGAGAGGTGCGTGTATGTGTACTGTAGGTGTATGAGTACTGTAGGTGTATGAGAGATGCGTGTATGAGTACTGTAGGTGTATGAGACTAGCGTGTATGAGTACTGTAGGTGTATGAGTACTGTAGGAGTATGAGAGGTGCTTGTATGAGTACTGGTGGTGTATGAGTACTGTAGGTGTATGAGACTAGCGTGTATGAGTACTGTAGGTGTATGAGAGGTGCGTGTATGAGAACTGTAGGAGTATGAGACTAGCGTGTATGAGTACTGTAGGTGTATGAGAGGTGCGTGTATGAGTACTGTAGGTGTATGAGAGGAGCGTGTATGAGTACTGTAGGTGTATGAGAGGTGCGTGTATGAGTACTGTAGGAGTATGAGACTAGCGTGTATGAGTACTGTAGGAGTATGAGACTAGCGTGTATGAGTACTGGTGGTGTATGAGAGGTGCGTGTATGAGTACTGGAGGTGTATGAGAGGAGCGTGTATGAGTAATGTAGGTGTATGAGAGGTGCGTGTATGAGTACTGTAGGTGTATGAGACAAGCGTGTATGAGTACTGGTGGTGTATGAGTGCTGGTGGTGTATGAGTACTGTAGGTGTATGAGACTAGCGTGTATGAGTAATGTAGGTGTATGAGAGGTACGTGTATGAGTACTGTAGGTGTATGAGAGGAGCGTGTATGAGTACTGGTGGTGTATGAGTACTGGTGGTGTATGAGTACTGTAGGTGTATGAGTACTGTAGGTGTATGAGCGGAGCGTGTATGAGTACTGTAGGTGTATGAGAGGTGCGTGTATGAGTACTGGTGGTGTATGAGTGCTGGTGGTGTATGAGTACTGTAGGTGTATGAGTACTGTAGGTGTATGAGAGGTGCGTGTATGAGTACTGGAGGTGTATGAGAGGTGCGTGTATGAGTACTGGAGGTGTATGAGAGGTGCGTGTATGAGTACTGTAGGTGTATGAGAGGTGCGTGTATGAGTACTGGAGGTGTATGAGAGGTGCGTGTGGTGGTCGTCATGTCAATACAGAGTGCGCGGGTCGGTCGACACGAGGCAACGGCTGCAGTCACCACCTGAGGGTCGTCGGGGACACACGCTCGGCTGCCTCTCAGGACCTCACGTACTCTCTCTAAAGATTGTTGAATAATTAGTGCTGAGCGGTTATCGTGTTTCTTGAGGCAGATTAGAACACCATTAGGTGGGATGTGCGCAAAGTCATACGATGTGTTGCATAATGTATTTCTGTGATCGAGTGGGCACCTAGCATCGAGGTTCCCTTGACACTAGGAGGCCGAGCTAGCCTTCATCTAGATGTGGCTACATGACCTAGCATCGAGGTTCCCTTGAGAAGTGTAGCCTGCCCATAGCATTTATCGGCCACCTAGCCTTCACCTAGCCACACCAGGCTACCTGGTGTTTGCCTAGCATCGAGGTTGCCTTGACATCAGTAGTACGCTCTGGCCCACACCTAGATTTGTCCACCTGGGAAAACACTATTTACAGTGCGCTGGTGTTGACAACCTCTGCCAGGATACGAGTGGTGTTTCAAGTTCCGCGAGGTCCGCAGGTGTTGAAAATCGCGGGGTGTGATGTGAGACGCGACTATGCTTGGGCCACCTCGGTGTCTGCCCCTCTGGGCTCACGATGGGCACAGAGGCAACCTGATAAGGTCTTCCTGGAGCGGCCTAAGTCGGCCTAGTAGAAAAGCTAGAGAAATATAGGAGTGGAAGGAATAGGTAAAGATGGCGCCCAAGAAACCCGAAGAGAAGAAAGACAATGGAGAAGACTTGTCAGCGTCGGAGAGACTCACTGTAAGTAGGACTTACTAAGTAGGACTTAGTATCTTGCTCACTCTTGCTTCACCTCACCACACTCACTCTTGCTTCACCACACTACACTCACTCTTGCTTCACCACACTACACTCACTCTTGCTTCACCACACTACACTCACTCTTGCTTCGCCACACTACACTCACTCTTGCTTCACAACACCACACTAACTCTTGCTTCACCACACCACACTCACTCTTGCTTCACCACACCACACTCTACTCTTGCTTCACCACACCACACTCACTCTTGCTTCACCACACCACACTCACTCTTGCTTCACCACACCACACTCACTCTTGCTTCACCACACCACACTCACCCTTGCTTGACCACACCACACTCACTCTTGCTTCACAACACCACACTCACTCTTGCTTCACCACACCACACTCACTCTTGCTTCACCACACCACACTCACTCTTGCTTCACCACACCACACTCACTCTTGCTTCACCACACCACACTCACCCTTGCTTGACCACACCACACTCACTCTTGCTTCACAACACCACACTCACTCTTGCTTCACCACACCACACTCACTCTTGCTTCACCACACCACACTCACTCTTGCTTCACAACACCACACTCACTCTTGCTTCACCACACCACACTCACTCTTGCTTCACCACACCACACTCACTCTTGCTTCACCACACCACACTCACTCTTGCTTCACCACACCACACTCACTCTTGCTTCACCACGCTCCCCTTGCTCCACTTGCTCGAACGAACTACAGAGACATTAGCAAGCATTTTTTAAGTGTCAGAGTAGATAACAAATGGAATGCACTAGGCAGTGATATGGTGGAGGCTGACTCCATACACAGTTTCATATGTAGGTATGATAGAGCCCAGTAGGCTCAAGAATCTGTACATCAGTTGATTGACAGTTGAGAGGCGGGACCAAAGAGACAAAGCTCAACCCCCTCAAGCACAACTAGGTGAGTACAGCTAGGTGAGTATACCACACTCCCTTTTGCTTCACCACACCAAACTCTTGCTTCATCACACGTCACTTACTCTTGCTTCACAACACCACACTCACTCTTGCTTCACCACACCACACTCATTCTTGCTCCACCACACCACACTCATTCTTGCTTCACCACACTACACTCACTCTTTCTCCACCACACCACACTCATTCTTGCTTCACCACACCACAATCAATCTTGCTTCACCACATCACACTCACTCTTATTTCACAACATCACACTCACTCTTGCTTCAACAAACCACACACACAATCTTGCTTCACCACATCACACTCACTCTTGCTTCACCTCACCACACTCTCTTTTGCTTCACCACACCACACTCTTGCTTCACCACACCACACTCACTCTTGCTCCACCACACTCCACTTGCTCCACAGTTGTAGTCACCTACAACCCTCCCCTAAATGACAGAAGACCCAGACAGGAGTTTGATATTAACAACATGGCAGCCAATTATATAATAGAGAGAGCAGCTTTAGTTGCCTGCAGGAATAGCCCCAGACTATTAATCATGGGTGATTTCAATCGTGGAAAGATAGACTGGGAGAATGGGGACCCACATGGTGGTACAGATACATGGAGAGTTAAACTTTTGGAAGTGGCAACAAGGAACTTTCTGAGGCAACATGTCATGGAACCCACAAGAGTGAGTGGCAATAATGAACCAGCTAGACTCTACCTGATATTAACCTTGGATGAATCAGAAATAAGGGAAGTCAAATTTAAAGCATCCATTGGACTGAGTGACCACAGTGTATTGACATTTGAGTATTTGGTGGAGGTAGGGATAACATATCCAAGGATGGGATCAGAAGGGAAAAGACTAAATTATCGAAGAAGAAAATATGACGAGATGCGGAACTTCCTAAGGGGAATACCATGGGAAACAGAAGTCAGAGAGAATGCTGTGCAGAATATGATGTATTATTTCACCCAGATGTGCGAGGAAACTGCAAACAAGTTTATCCCAGTCCAAAAGGAGAAAAACGAAAAAAACTGAAGAATCCATGCTTTAACCAGGAATGTAAGGTAGTGAAGCAATTGAGTAAAAGAACATGGAGAAACTACAGGAATAACAGAACGCCAGAGAGCAGGGAGAGATACCAGAGTGCAAGAAATGAGAACCTCAGAGTGAGGAGGGCAGCAGAGAGACAGTATAAAAATGACATTGCGAGTAAAGCCAAGACCCAACCAAAGCTGCTCCACAGCCACATCAGAAGGAAAACAGCAGTGAAGGAACAAATGATGGAACAGAGAAAAGGGGAGAACAGATACACAGTGAATGACATGAAGGTTTGTGAAGAACTCAACAAGAGATTCCCAGAGGTCTTCACAGAAGAACAAGGAGAAGCCTACACTAAATGAGGTAAACCAAACAACCTTGGAGGAATTTGACCTCACCAGTGATGAGGTTAAAAGGAATCTGTTGGAGCTGAATGTGAATGTGACAAATGCTGTTGGGCCTGACAGAATCTCACCATGGATACTAAAGAAAGGTGCAGAAGCACTATGTGTGCCATTCTCTATGGTGTATAACAGGTCACTGGAAACAGGAGACCTACTGAAAAGTTGGAAGACTGCTAATGTAGTCTCAATATACAAAAAAGTAACAGGCAAGAGGCTCAGAACTTTAGGCCAGTTTTCCTAACTTGTATTCCATGCAAGGTGATGGAGAAGATGATGAGGGAAAGGCTCGTAGAGCATCTAGAGGGAAATAACTTTCACCACCACCAGCATGGGTTCAGAGATGGTAAATCGTGCCTCACAGGATTAATAGAATTCTAAGACGAAGTAACAAAAATTAGGCAAGAAAGAGAAGGGTGGGCAGACTGCAATTTCTTGGACTTTCAGAAAGCCCCATTTCTGACAGTCCTTTTATGGGGAAGACACTTCCACATAAAAGGCTGTTACAAAAGTTGGAGCAAAAGTCAGGAGTAAAATATAAGGTGTTCCAGTGGATAAGGGAGTATTTAAGCAACAAGAAACATCGAGTAACAGTGAGTAGGAGACATCAGAGTGGCAAGATGTCACCAGCGGAGTCCCACAAGGCTCAGTACTTGGACCCATCCTGTTTCTAATATATGTAAACGATCTTCCAGAGGGTATAGACTCATTCCTCTCAATGTTTGCTGATGATACAAAAATTATGAGAAGAATCAAGACAGATGAAGATAGACTGAGACTACAGGATGACCTGGACAAACTGGAGGAATGGTCTAGAAAATGGCTGCTAAAGTTAAACTCAGGAACGAGTAAAATAATGAAATTACGCGAAGGGAGCAGAAGGCTGAACACAAGGTACCATCTGGGAGGTGAAATCCTGCAAGAGTCAAATAGAGAGAAATATCTGGGGGTTGATATTACACCGAACCTGTCCCCAGAGGCTCACATCAAAAGGATATCATCAGCGGCATATGCTAAGTTGGCCAATATAAGAACTGCCTTTAGAAACTTGTGTAAGGAATCGTTCATTACCCTGTATACCATTTATGTCAGACCAATCCTGGAATATGCAGCTCCAGCCTGGAGTCCATACCTAGTCAAACACAAGACAAAGTCAGAGAAGATTCAGCGGTATGCCACCAGACTTGTCCAGGAACTGAGAGGTATGAGCTACGAGGAATGGCTGAAGGAGCTGAACCTCACATCCCTGAAAAACAGAAGAGAAAGGGAAAACATGATAACCACCTACAAAATTTTCAGGGGAATTGACAGGGTGGACAAAGACAAACTCTTTAGCAAGGTCTAGGAACAAGAACAAGCGGACACGGGTGGAAAATTAGTATCCGAACGAACCACAGAGACATTAGCAAGCATTTTTTAAGTGTCAGAGTAGATAACAAATGGAATGCACTAGGCAGTGATGTGGTGGAGGCTGACTCCATACACAGTTTCATATGTAGGTATGATAGAGCCCAGTAGGCTCAAGAATCTGTACATCAATTGATTGACAGTTGAGAGGCGGGACCAAAGAGCCAAAGCTCAACCCCCGCCAGCACAACTAGGTGAGTACAGCTAGGTGAATGTACCACACTCCCTTTTGCTTCACCACACCACACTCACCCTTGCTTCACCACACCCTACTCTTGCTTCACCACACCACACTCTTGCTTCACCACACTACACTCACTCTTGCTCCACCACACCACACTCACTCTTGCTTCACTACACCCCACTCTTGCTTCACCACACCACACTCTTGTTTCACCACACCACATTCACTTTTACTCGACCACACCACACTCACTCTTGCTTCACCACACCACATTCACTCGTGCTTCACCACACCACACTCTTGCTTCACAACACCACACTCACTCTTGCTTCACAACACCACACTCACTCTTGCTTCAACAAACCACACACAATCTTGCTTCACAACACCACACTCACTCTTGCTTCACCACACCACACTCTCTCTTGCTTCACCACACCACACTCTTGCTTCACCACACCACACTCTTGCTTCACCACACCACACTCTTGCTTCACCACACCACACTCACCCTTGCTTCACCACACCACACTCACCCTTGCTTCACCCCACCACACTCACTCTTGCTTCACCACACCACACTCACCCTTGCTTCACCACACCACACCACACTCTTGCTTCACCACACCACACTCTTGCTTCACAACACCACAATCACCCTTGCTTCACCACACCACACTCACTCCTGCTTCACAACACCACACCACATTCTTGCTTCACCACACCACACTCACTCTTGCTTCACCACACCACACTCTTGCTTCACCACACCACACTCACCCTTGCTTCACCACACCACAATCACCCTTGCTTCACCCCACCACACTCACTCTTGCATCACCACACCACACTCCTGCTTCACAACACCACACCACATTCTTGCTTCACCACACCACACTCACTCTTGCTTCACCACACCACACTCTTGCTTCACTACACCACACTCTTGCTTCACCACACCACACTCACTCCTGCTTC